AAACAATTGCGCAAAAAAAATTTGACATTTTTTTGAATTGACATGTATGCAAGGCATGTGATTTTAAATTTTGAAGGAAAACTGTAAATAATTTCTAAAAGAAAACGAAAAATTTGGTTTTGGTGTCGGTCGGTGCACAGTGTGTTATTTTTGCAATTTCATGTTCAAAACCTAATGTCTCTTGAACAAATTGACCAAATTGAATGAACCTTGGACCAAAATAAAGCTAAATAAATGTAGAATAGAGGAAAATTATAGGGAACCCTTGATTTATTTTTTTGAGCTCCTGGGAGTCGAGTGAAGTTAGCATTTTTTAGGAAAAAATGGTAAATTGAAGTATACAAACCGGTATATCATGGTAAAACTTAATAAAACAACTTTTTTGTAAGCATTTAGGATCACTGAATACAAAACTAAAGTTCATTTTTCAAAATTCTAAATGGCGAATTCAAAATGGCGGTCTAAAACAATGCAATTTTGAAACAAAAATTTTTTTGTTCAAACTGTGGTATTTTAATGTTTTTGAGGTCGCTGAATCCAAATATGATGATAAAATTTAAAAATTCAAAATGGCGGACCCAAAATGGCGGACGAAAATTTTTCAAAGTGCTTAGATTTCAACGAGACTTGGTACTTTAACGTTTTCGAGGTCGCTGAATTCAAATATGATGGTAAAATTTGAAAATGCAAAATGGTGGATCCAATATTGCGGACAAAATATTTATAAAATTCTTAGATTTCAACGAAGCGTAATGATTATAAATTTTTTTTCTATATATTCATATTGAGCATTATATTTGAAGTCTGTGACTAGAAAAATAATAAAACACTACGCTACTTTGAAATCTAAGAATTTTATAAATATTTTGTCCGCCATATTGGATCCGCCATTTTGCATTTTTAAATTTTGTAATCATATTTGAATTCAGCGTCCCCGAAAACGTTAAAGTACCAAGTATCATTGAAATCTAAGCACTTTTTAAATTTTTCTGTTCGCCATATTGGATTCGCCATTTTGAATTTTCAAATTTTACCATCATATATGAATTCAGCGACCTCGAAAACGTTAAAGTACCAAGTCTCGTTGAAATCTAAGCACTTTGAAAAATTTTCGTCCGCCATTTTGGGTCCGCCATTTTGAATTTTTAAATTTTATCATCATATTTGGATTCAGCGACCTCAAAAACATTAAAATACCACAGTTTGAACAAAAAAATTTTTGTTTCAAAATTGCATTGTTTTAGACCGCCATTTTGAATTCGCCATTTAGAATTTTGAAAAATGAACTTTAGTTTTGTATTCAGTGATCCTAAATGCTTACAAAAAAGTTGTTTTATTAAGTTTTACCATGATATACCGGTTTGTATACTTCAATTTACCATTTTTTCCTAAAAAATGCTAACTTCACTCGACTCACAGGAGCTCAAAAAAATAAATCTAGGGTTCCCTATAATTTTCCTCTATTCTACATTTATTTTGCTTTATTTTGGTCCAAGGTTCATTCAATTTGGTCAATTTGTTCAAGAGACATTAGGTTTTGAACATGAAATTGCAAAAATAATACACTGTGCGGTGTCGGTCGTTTTAGAACTTAATACAATGAGAAGGATACTATAATAAGAAGGATATGAGGGAAATTGAATATGGCCATAACATTTTGGAAAAAAGTTTTTTAGCTTAGATTTAAAATAGTGATGTTTTAATATGCTATTAGCGAAAAAAATAACAAAATGCAAAAAATCGCGCAAAAAAAATTTGGCATTTTTTTGAATAGACATGTATGTAAGGAATGTGATTTTAAATTTTGAAGAAAAACTGTAAATAATTCATAAAAGAAAACGAAAATTTTGGTTTTGGTGTAGGTCAATGTCGGTCGTTTTAAAACTTAATATAATAAGAAGGATATGAGAGAAATTGAATATCGCCATAATTTTCTGGAAGAAAATTTTTTTTAGCTTATATTTAAAACAGTGACGTATTTTACGTGCTATTAACGTAAAAAATAAAAAATTGCAAAAAATCGCGCAAAAAAAATTTGTGATTTTTTTTTTAATAGACATGTATGTAAGGAATGTGATTTTAAATTTTGAAGGATAACTGTAAATAATTTATAAAAGAAAACGAAAAATTTGGTTTTGGTGTAGGTCAATGTCGGTCGTTTTAAAACTTACTATAATAAGAAGGATATGAGGGAAATTCAATATGGCCATAACATTTTGGAAAAAAATAATAATAAATAAATAAATAATTTATTGTTACATCCCGAGCTAAGGCTTAGTTTTTAAACAAATAATTTATTTATTTACTTGGGAGGGTTGTGCTGATTAATCAGATTGGTAAGATCTGATATTTTATTTTGTAGGATCGTTGTTACTTTATAAAGACTATGGGTCTTGCGTTAATAACAATAATAAAAGATAAACATTCCCCTTTATAATGTTTTATTATTTATACATATGATAATATACATGTGTAAAGGTTGCTCACTTCTACGCTTGTATTCGGGTTTCAATGGAAATGCTGAGTCGTCGTATAAGATTTATTTCTGGTTCTGTTCCAAATAATGAAAACACAGTTTGTGGAATCACACTTGTGTAACACACACAACTATTAATGTTTTTTATGATGATATAATATTCAACTCTCAAGCTCTAAATTTATTATCTCACGTTACTCACACCTATATTGAAAGAATTCCTTTAAAATGTGAAAGAGAAGCAATTTATAGACTTTTAATTGTTAATATTTTATATCACAAAATACGACAGTAAAATCAATGAAATTAATTAATGTAATTATTTAGTTATTGTTTCTTGCACCTTTATAGGAAAGAATTCGTTCTAATTGAAACTTTAACAAAACTTGTACTTTTTATGAAAAGTTTACAATAAATTTCGTGAAATTAACTGAACGGTCGCTCTACAATGATAATAATCACAGAGATATACACTGGAACTTTTGACATCTTCTCTGATCAGAGATGGGGTTTATATACTATTCAACTCATTGCTTTATTGGGGATGATTTAGATAAAAAGCACGGATTTTGAAAACTTGTTAAGTGGCATGTTTCGTGCAAAATTGTTAAGTGGCAAGTACAGTTTTTCTAAGAATTGCATAGTGTCATTATACATATAAAATAGTGAACCAATAGTGATAACTACACGGAGAAAAAATTCAAGCGTTTGTAGTATGAGACCAGTTCATACTCTCGTAGCAGGGCTGGTTCGTCTACACATTAAGCATGAATTCATACGTTTCGAGCGTGATAGTCCACTATACTTTAAAGGCGTAATATATACGCTCTTGTTGTATAAATTTATGCTTCATTAGTAGCGACGCCACGCGCATTTCGTAGGCAACATCAGCCTACTACGATTGCAGGCAACATATGCTCTAAGAGTATATGTTCCTTACAACTGGATATTGTGCACGAAACGTGCTTTCTAAAAGTGCTTATAAAATATTTTTATATAAATAGGTGGTTATAATTAATCAGATTGTTAACCATAAACATAAAGATTTATTAAAATATTTGCAATTATAGGTTAAATTTTAAAAATTAAAATTAATTTTGCTTTTGATAAATAATAAAAGAAGTGTTTTGACAGATTCTTATTTTTTGAGGTTATGTTTGGCTCATTTCTCTTTAAAAAAACTGACCATCACTGAATTTTTTAATTTTGAATTAAAAAATCGATAATTTAAATAATAATAATAATCTAAACAAACAAATTCAATTTTAAATAAAAAGTTAAAATTGAAAATTTCGTTAATCTTTTGCTTTGTTTATAAAAAAATCTTTTCATAATTAACAGATTATTTTTTCATGAAAGCAACAAGTATTAATACGTTGCAACAAAATTAATATTTTAATCTAATAAACAAACAAGTAATTTAAAATGTAAGTGATAATATTGTTCAATATTAATCTTCTAGCATGTTTTTAGTTAAAGTAAATAATTGCAGTAATCTATATAAACGTCAAAAGTAGAATTTCCTTTTCCAATTTTTATCAAAGAAAAAATTATTTTGAATGCTAAAAAAATTAGGGCTGCTCACGATACGAGACTAAACTTGGTCTCCGCTCCGTTCCTTCTCGATATTTAGTATAACTGAGACCGAGACGAGATTACAAAAAAAAATTCAAGACGAAACCATGAGTCTTGTCGAGAGAATATTGTGTATATTTTATTATTAATAAAATATTTGTACATAAAGAAATTGAAAAAATGCATACATAAATTTAAAAAACATTGTTTTTTGTTTTGTTTGTTCATTATAATCACCAAACTATTCAAACAAATTTATAAAAATAAGCAAACTCAATGAATATTTAAATGGATTATTTTTAATACGTTTAATAGCTTCAATATTGTATTTCAACTAAAATTAATCATTAAAAATTTAAATGAAATAAAAATTTTAAATCATTAATTAATAACTTAATAAATAACCTTTTCTTACGTTAAAATATATTTAAATTTTACTAACCGGTTTTTATTAATTTTATCACATATTGTTTGTTAAAATAAAGTATTTTTTATGATAATCTTATAATACAATAAATAAATTTTAAATAAAAAATAGTATATTTGTATTGTTAAATAATGTGATAAAAATAAATAAATAAAAACAATTAGTGGATTTTGTTATTTTAGTTAAATTCTTTAAAACCAAATTGAATTTTTAATCTAAATTCATCAAACATAATTTGTTAAAATTTTTAAACCTAAAAAAGTTATTCTCAGGAGACTTTTTACAGTTGGAAACAATAATTGACAAAATTAATTTCTTAGAAAAGCAACGTATATTTAATATAAATATTACAGATATCACATATTAAAAATTCATTAAATAAAAGCGGAAATTATATTACCTTTAAGACTGAACAGTAATTATCAACCATATTATTAAAATTTGTCATTACCTGGATCTTTTACACATTGATCTTAATAATATGCATTTTATAATCTGTCTATTTCGATAAGCGTTTTAAATCTAAACGCTATATCTAGTTGCAATAAAATCTTCATTCTTTTTCTTACACATTAAACAAGGTGGTACTCTCGGTATTAAGTCGACGTTTATTAATAAGTTCGGTTTACTTGGATTGGAGTGCACACTGAATGCATGATACTGATGATTGAAATAAATTGTAGTGAACTCTTTTGCTTCGAAGTAAACATTTTTACAGTAAAATATTTGTTTAATCACACCGAATTGAGGACCTTCTTCGGTTATTCTTGTTACAAATACAGTACCTACTGAAAACTTGTTTCCAAGAATTTCAACGTTTTGCAGAGTAATTACCGACATGTCATTTGGCAAATTTGGAATTAAATTTTTAAACTGGTTGCTTGCATTTGAGTTGTCAACAGGTCCTAATACAATCTCCCCGAGTGTAGGTGAATAAAATTCAAGATTGTAACACAAATTTAATTGGTGCTTTATCGCGATTGTCAAAGGTAAATTAACGTTAGATGTGGTTCCAACAGCAGTTTCCTTCAATTCCTTGTTCTTTCTTTCGAATTTCATTGACGAGTAATGAACTAGTGGACCATTTAACAATATGGCTCTTGGATAATGCAGCCATATGTGCATTTTTGGTTTCAGTTTACCAAAAATTTCCAAGTATTTTTTATTATGTTTCGTTATGAGTTGTCGAACAACTTCGACTTGTCCTTTATCTAACACAGGAGACATTAAAATATCAATAATTTCTCTCAGGCAAAGATAAAGTTTCCAATAGTGATTGTCAGCAGGGATAAGATCGCCTATCATTAATCCTAAATATCTCGCCAAACATAACATTTCTGAAGCAGATTGCTTTATCTTTATCTTTTGTCCCCCTTTTTTTCCTTGAGAAAAAAATAAAGGCCTTGGTTTGTTCGACTTTTCTTGCTCACTGTATGGAAAGGTTTCAATTCGCTGGTTTATGATGTCTAAAGTGATAGTATTTTCTTTGACTAGACCGTCTACTACTTTAGACATTGTATAAGCGATGGATCCCTCTGGAACGTCGTGCATTAAATCCAAAGATATATTGTCAGTAATCTTAAACTTATTCACTTCATTAAAAATGCACTCTTCTTTAATACCGGTTTGTTGAAAATTGTTCTTTTTTATATCGGCTTCATAAGATGCTACTGTTCTTAACAGAGATTGAATCTCTTCAATCATGTGTTGGCATTCCTCATTTGAAGCAGAGCAAATCCTACAAAAATAACGCGCCTTAAAACTTAGTGAAAATCCACAGATCCTATTTAATCCTGCATTGTCCCCTAATATTTGAACCAAATCAAAATAGATTATCACATCTAACCCATTCAACTTAAATTTTAAACCTTCCTTAGATAAGAAGTTGAGATCGTCCATACTTTTTACAAAAAACTTTTCATTTTCAAATAGTTTAAAATGCTTCGCGTAGAAGATCGTAGAAACAAAAATATTTTTCAATTTTGCAGCCATGTAGGGAGGTAAACAAGCAAGGGATACATATACTCCTCCTAATTTTTCTTCCCCTGCGTGGCTTCCTAATGGATTTCGTGTTTCGAATTCATCGAAATATAAATAAACCGGCAAAATGATCTTGTCCAACTCTTCATATTTTTTTGCCCACAATTCTCCTTGTATAACGTTCGATATACGTTCTTTTTCTTTGCGCAAATCACTCATGTAGGAAATAATAGATTCTAAAACACCTGGAATTAAGAGCGCTGCCTGCATGGTATCCTTTAAAGAAACGTGAGCTGCGTATACCGGTTTCATTTGTACGCGTACATTTTTATCGTCATCGGCAACAAAAGTTTTCTCTTGCCCAACTTCAAATAATTGAGAGGGTATGAAAAAACTTTTTTCTTCATATAATTTAAATCTTAAATGCTGCGTTGAAATTTGTCGAAATATATCTTTAGTATTTTCTAAAATAAACTGCGTCTTAAAATATGACCTTTCATTTGAAATTGGTTTGACATTATGTTCCAGCTCATTTTGAACATATGGAATAAATTTTTTTGAAAGGAATTCATCAAAAATATTTAATACTTTACCGACATCTTTTCTGGAAATGTGCGGAATGGTATAAAGTGAAAGTGACAACTTCAACAATTCTTTACTTAAATCATTTCTTGTAATGTTTGGAGCAGAACTAGTGGAATCCATTTTTTATTGTTCTAGTTGGACGTTTAATTTAGTAAGACTTTTTATATATATATATATATATATATATATATATATATATATATATTATATTATATTATCAATATATTATACATTGATAAATAGTAAGAAGAAATATTCGATAATAAAAAGTGGAAATTCGAATGAGGTAATAATAAAAATATCATCAAATATTTGTTATCAATCGTCTATCAAGTGCCAAATTTTCATTTATTAAAATAAAATATTTTTATAAACAAAAGTTTTCAATTACATTAACCTTTAAATTTACCTTATCAATTTTACTTTCGTCACTCGAAAATGGCACGGCAGTTTTCTTCAAAGTCCGTTGACCATTCATTGGTGCATTAACGAAATCCATTTGCGCAAAATGCTTGCTACAAATGTAGGAATATTTCCCCACAGAATTTTTGGTTCGTATCGAACTCAACCAAATTTCCAAACGGTCTTTATCGTTCAATGGGAACCTTAAAAATAAATAAACAATTTAAGTCTAATTCTGTTATAAATACAATAGATTGTAATAATTAGGAATTCGTTAAAATTGATTTGAAATGATTTCGAAAAAATATGTACGAAAAATATTGTCGAAATATAAAAATATTATTATATTATGTAGAACTTATATATAGATATATAAATATTTATTGGTTTATAAACTCGTCTTAAGTTAGGTAATTCTTATTTCACAAAGAGTAAGTCTAAAAAATTATATAAAAAATATTATTAAATACTTCTTTAAAAAATAAAAGTTTTTGTAATATTTACATATTCAAAAAAATCGACTGAAATATCATTTATTTCTTGTTTAAGTAGTCTTCGTTTGTTTTTACTAGTTTGAAAAATGGATTATTGACAAACAAATTTAGATAAAATTGTTTGATTAATAACTCTTTCAGCTGTAAGAAGAAATGATTCACGCAAAAAAATGTTTGTTCCTGAAAATAATATTAACATGTAGATCCATAAATAAAAGGTGTGCTTATTATTTAAAAATTTATTTATTTTTCTCTTTAAATCGTACGGTTCCGTAGATTTGCCCATAAATATTGCATACACTAAAAATGTTGTTAAATAGAAATTGTTCTGAATTTAAAAATTTATTGATGTTTTAAATTATTTATTTTTCAATTGAGGCGAATAAAATTTAAATTTCAAATAAAAAAAAATTTAACAATGTACAACCAATATAAAATTACTTTCAAAATAAAAGTTTCTTATTCAATAAAATAAATGCTTGCAATATTGACTTCAACAAAACAAACAGGAACAAAGTAATAATGACTTTCTTATTGAGTTTAACATTGTAGTAATCTTCAAAAAGAATTTAAATATTTACATATATATGAATAACATATTAATACATTGTTAATTTAATATTAAATGTACATAAAAAATTAATTAATTAAAATTTATTCATTTAAAATAATATTAATGACATATAATAATATTAATAATATTAAATATTCTAAAAGAACATTTTATAAATAAAATTTAATAAATATAACATTTACTTACTTAAAATATGACAAATTGTCATTCGGTTTCCATACATTACGGCAATTTGACACACAACAAGATCTCAACATTTTTTCGCAAATTTATTTCCAAAAAATTGTCGTTAACTTGCCTTGACACAGCAATGGTAATATAATAATAAACCATAATAAACAGTGACAGTTTCAAACTTTTGCACTTCACTGTGCTGATGCGTTCTGCGTCTGCGTACAAAATTAGTGAGAGAGAAACTAATACCTGCGGATAGTCTGTCTCACAGCCGTTCTCCTCTCACAACCTAGACTAGCATTGCCTGTTCCATTAGTATATATTTCAGTGGTCCTTAGAGGACTCCAAGGTGTAGAATTATTTGTTTATCTCGATGATATTGTTGTTTATGCTAAAGACTTAAATGAACACGGTAAAAAGATTAAAAGATTATTTTCAAAATTACGTCAAGCTAACTTAAAATTACAACCAGAAAAGTGCGAATTTTTGAAACGTGAAGTAATATATTTAGGTCACATTATAAGTAACGACGGATTAAAACCCGACCCTAAAAAAATTGAAGCTGTAAAGAATTTTCCCACACCAACAAATGTACGAAACATCAGACAATTTCTCGGTCTTGCAGGCTACTATAGGCGATTCATACAAGATTTTTCTAAAAAGGCAAAACCATTATCTGATTTATCAAAAAAGGACAAAAAGTTTATTTGGGCTCCTGAACATGAGGAAGCTTTTAAATTACTTCGCAATGCCCTTTGCGAAGAACCTATTTTACAATACCCTGATTTTAATAAAAAGTTTACTTTAACTACAGATGCGTCTGATTATGCGATTGGAGCGGTATTAAGTCAAGAAAAAGACGGATTTGACCACCCTGTAGCTTATTTATCACGACTTTTAACAGAACCTGAGAAAAACTATTTTACAACAGAAAAAGAATGTCTCGCAGTTTTATACGCTGTAAGATATTTTCGTCCTTATTTATATGCTCTAAGATATTTTCGTCCTTATTTATATGGTCGAGAATTTTTATTAGTAAGTGATCATGAACCCTTGCGTTGGATTGATAGTATAAAAGACCCTGGTCAAAGACTAGTTCGTTGGAGATTAAAATTAAGAGATTACGAATACACTTTCAAATATAAACCAGGAAAATTAAATTGTAATGCAGATGCTCTATCTAGAAATGCTTCCGAAACAAGCGACGATTTACAAAATAAAGTATTCATGATGACAAGATCAACAAAGAAAAGTTTATAAAAACCATCAACTTCCAGTAAAATTCCAAGCGATGAAAAAGAAAAACTAAAATCTACCCCTGATTCACAAACTTTTCAAGATCTACCTAAAAGACCCATGACAAGTCGATTAAGATTACGATCAAAAATCACTTCTACTTCAGCAACAAAATTACATGACGAACAAAATGTTAGTTCAATTGCTAAAAGATACCATCCACGTAAAGCAAAAGAGAACATTCTCTTAAAAGAACTAGACGACACAGAAAGTAAAAGTGCTGCTAAGGAAACAGAAGAATCTGACCTAAATGAAGAAGAACCAACCAGTTTACATATTCCTATTTGGAAAAGAAGAAAAAGTGTTTTTCCTAGTTTAGATATAACCGCAGATTCCGCAAAATTTCCTACTCCACTTAAGAGCGCACCTGCTCTTACAAATATAGAACCTTCTTTTCAAGAAATGGAACCAGAACAAAGTCAGGACAACAACGAGCCAATCACCGATCAATCGATTGTTCCAATCTCCTTAGAAGGACCTCCGCAGGATGAATCAGGTACTAACAGTGAAAATGATGATTTTCAACTTAACGAATCCTCTTTAGATAGTACACGTCAACAAATAAGAGATGAATTACAAAAATCATTTGAAAAATTTAATCAATCTCTAAAAGAATGCGAAGATAAATTTTCACAAGAACCAGATTCTATTTCTCTTAAAAGAATATCTGAAGGAGAGTTAGATGAAGAACTGTTAGAAACTCTTAAAAATTTAGATCCTTATGACACAGAAAATGAAGATCACGAATTAGAAAGTCGAATTGAAAAACTTATCGAAGATACGCAAAAACAAACTGGACTAACAACATTAAATACAGATAAAGAAAAAGAAGAAATGAATGAAGAAGAAAATTCAATAATACCTTCTAACCCACAAATTACATCAACCCCTTTGCCATTACAAAGCTTAGCTACTCCGCTAACAACAATACAACCAAAGGGCAGATCTACACCATCTGTACGTCAAAGAGTTTTTCCGAAAACTATTGAAGAAGAAAACGAAGAAAATTTGACTATAATGAAACCAAAGGAAAATGAACAACAAATAAAACACGTAGATAAACAAAACACGAATGATACAACTCATCCCAATATACAAGAAAACACAGCTTTTTACCCTACTACATTTCAAGAATCTATAGATAAACCAACCAAACCAATTTTAGATAACGATCTGCAAAATTCAATAAAAGGATTATATGTTCGGAATTTAAATATTCAAAGTTGTAGAGAAAACCTCACTTATAAGCGAGATAATTACGTACACTTTACTTCTGCAAATTGCGAATTTCTTACATCAATAGATAAACCATTCATTGATCTAGGAATTATAGATCCTGAAGAAATAAAACTACAAAATCCAAAATTAGGTCAAATTTTGATTACTTCTTATGGAAGTTATAAAATATTTACAATTATAATTAAAAATAAACATTCCGATAACTTAAGTAAAACTAATCTCGAAATTTGCCTCAAAAATTTACAGAAAATATTAATAAAAGAAGCAATAAAAACACTATGATTTTCTTTATTAGGAAACTATTTGGATTCTCTAGGACCAACTCAATTTTCCGAAGTTCTAACCAAAATTTTCTATTTGGATATTGTAACCATAACCCTATGTTATAGTAATGTTTTGATTCCACCTTTACAAGACCGTTTAAAAATAATTTCTGAAATGCATAAAAGTCTTATAGGAGGTCATAAAGATATCATATCGAAGAATTAGAGAACGTTTTGTTTGGTCAGGAATGAGAAATGACGTCACTGATTTCATTAGACATTGCAAAACATGTCAGGAACAAAAGGTAGTTAGATCTAGAATAAGAGAGCCTATGCTTATTACTGATACGCCGATAGATACGTTTGATAGTTTCTCTCGATACCGTAGGTAAACTTCCAACTACCCTTGATGGCAATAAATACATTTTAACAATTCAAGATAATCTATCCAAATATTGTATTGCTGTACCCGTACCAGATATTTCCACTACTAGAATTGCACATGCAATAGCAAGAAACCTTTTCTCACAATTTGGTGCCCCTCGCGCAATATTAACCGATAGAGGTGGTAGTTTTGTAAGTAAATTAATGAGTAATCTATGCCGAATATTTGGAGTAAAACAATTAACCACTTCTGGATATCGCCCTCAAACCAACGGGTCATTAGAACGAAGCCATACAGTCTTAATAGAATTTATAAAACACTATGCAAAACATTTTGATGATTGGGATCGTTTAATACCATTTGCAATGTTTTCCTACAATACCTCTGTTCATAAAGGTACAAATTTCACCCCCTATGAATTAGTATTTGGAAAAATTGCTCGTGCACCAACTGCATTTCCTCAAGATGAAAAATTAGTTACCTATGGAACTTATCTACAAGAATTAATAACACGACTTAATGAAATAAAAATATTAGTTGCTAAAAATTTAATTCAAGCCAAAGCTCGTTTTAAACTAAACTATGATAAAAGTTGCAAGGAATTTCAAGGTAAAATTGGCGATTTAGCTTATATTCAAAAAGAACCTAGAACCAGTAAATTTGAAAAGCGAT